ATGCCTTCTGACATTCACGTAAATTAAATTAATTTTTTTTTAAAATGACATTATTTAATATTATAATTTTTAATACTTTAATTTTTTTTGAAAATGACATTATTTAATATTATAATTTTTAATACCCTAAACTCTAAAACTTTATTATTATAATTTTAAATAAATTTTATTTGAGAATAAAAAATTTATTTTTAAAAAGTAAATAAAATATTAAATTATAAGTTAATTATTTATACTTGAGACAAATATTTTAATATTAACGGTTTCATATTACTAAGGTAACATTGATGAAGACAAAGTGCATTAACAAAGATGATAGCAAATTCATAACAACATTAATAATTAACTATCTCCGTAATGGTGGCCAGTTCCATAACGAGGGCGACGTTTGTGACGTGGTGGGTTTCGTCGTTGTGGTTGTTGCTCTGGAATTTTTGAGGATTTGGATCATCATGAAGGTGTAGTTGTTGGAATGCATTTGATGAATTACCAGATTTATTAGCAAAATTCGGTTGGTAAAGAGACTGCATGTAAGTTTGTGCTGAAGATGGAGTTGTAAAATCAACTCCAAATAAGTTTGTAAAAAAAATCCTCCGATGTTGTTGCAGACAAATGTCTTGTATTAATAATGTTTGCTTTTGGCGTAATATTCGGAGAAATTGATGCAGTCTCGTGGTACGACGGTGTGGAAGTCGTACCGATTTCAAATGTGTTGGTAGTCCTTAATTATTGGTCACTCCTCCTTGGATCTTGTAGTAGTGGTGGCACAGATAGAAAATAGATGAAATTGGCAATGTATCATTCCATGTATTCTTGTGTGTGACACAATGGGCCTTGCATTGGATGACCCGTTATTGTCAACTCACGTCTGTTGTTCCATATCTCGATCCATTGAGCATGTCTTGTAACCCAATTTTCATCTTGTCTTCCTCTCATATCAATTTTGTGGAGGTCATTCAAATTATTCGGTGAAGAAGGGACTTCTTAGAAGAGACAGAACTGTAATTTGACTCTATCTGTTTGGTGCCATTCAACAATTGCAAAACAAAGGATGACAGTACATGAAGTCCACAATTGGACATCTCTATATGCTTCCATGGGTATTAATGTTTGCAAGTCTTGATATGACGCCCATAAAAACTACAAATAAAATTAACTTTGTTACTTAAGATGATGTATAAAAGATAAGAAAATAAATATGAAGAGTTACCTGATTAGCTTGAATGTTCTGTACTCCACAACATCATTGTGAGGTTTATTTTGAAAGTTGAGTACTCTACCCCCACTCCATCTGCACACAAGAGGGTATGTTGGTAAATTACTGGAAATTGGCGCAATATATGGCATACGATACCATGCCTAGGACATTAACAGTGATGAGCAACCACCTATTGTTTTGCTACCAACTTCCATGGCTCTACACATTTTCCTGTACAACATAGCTAAACAAGCAGAACCCCAACTATATCGTCTTGTTCTTCTAAGATTAGTTAATAAAGTTAAATACATAAGATGTACTTTGTTGCCTGTTTTGTCAGACATCAAAACACCTCCAATTAAACCTAGTATGTAAGCCCTACAATGAGTGTGAACTTCTTCTTCAGATGATTCTTCTTGTAATGGCAACATGTTGTCTCTCAGCCACTTCAGTTTTACCATAGAGCCAATTAGTGACTCTCCCTTGACTGGTACGATACCGAGATATTTGTCACACATTTCCTCCCAGTCAAACATTGTTGGAGCAATGACTAGTAAACCATCAACTCTTAGCCCGAGTTGTAGTGCAACATCTTCCAGGGTTATGGTGCACTCCCTTGTTGGAAAATGAAATGTGTGAGTTTCAGGTCTCTACCTCTTGACCAAAACTGTTATCAATGCGTGATCCACCTTAAGATGCCTTAATTTTGCAACTCCAACAAAACCAAGTTGTTCAAGTATGGGAACAATTAGAGGACTGGGTTCTGGCATTAAATGACAGAAAGATGAAATCATGTTTTCAGTTTCCTGCAGTTATTAATAAATTAGTAACATTATATGTAGAATATTGATTTACATAATGGTAATGTATAAAACTTATCGTTCTTCCAATAAAGGCGGACCTGTGTTCGTTTTGCTTCCAGAACAACATTTTTAGTAATGAGAGCAAAGATAAAGAGAAACGAAGAACAAAGATGGACGTAAGTTTGAATGAAAACATGTGCCCTTAGATGAACATATTTATAGACAAACTTCGGTATGAGAGAGTAGCCTTAGAATCTTGAGAAGTCACTATCTCTTGGTCTGCGTGACTGAGAAGTCACAATCTCTTGGTCTGCGTGACCGAGAAGTCACTATATCTTGGTCTGTGTGACCTGAGAAGTCATTATCTCTTGGTCTGCGTGACCAAGAAGTCATTATCTCTTGGTCTGCGTGACCTGAGAAGTCACTATCTATTGGTCTGCGTGACTGAGAATCCAATGTTCCCATTATAAATAGACATATTCATGTTCATTTTATTCATTCAACCTTCTCAGCTTGTTCCTTGTTCTTGTGAACCTTCTCCTTCTAAAAATGTCTTCAATCTATGTCATTGTTCACTCTGATGGTGCCATTAACCAATGTCCTTATGAAGGAGTCACGTTCACCACATCATCAGCTAATTGGTACATCTAAAGAGAGGAGTGACTCTACAAAGGCTCAAGAAAATCATCTACACAAAACTCAACCGAGACGAAAATACAACCATACATTTTCGCTACCCAATTAGACTTGGCCCAGAAGTTAGTAACTACACATGTGTTGAGTTAAATGATGATGAAGACGTTGAGGCACTATTCAATATCCACGATTCAAATCAACTTCAATCAGGTATAAAATTATATGTTACATTTGCTACAAACGTAACCCAGCTGATGTATAAAAATTGAATTACTGGACAAGTGTACCCGTTGTCAGAGTAATATTATGAAAATTTAAGTACCAAGTGTCGTATCCACAGGGATTGTTATTAAGAAATTCTTCCTTAATTGTGTAATTGTTAATAGATATAAAAAATAAATTTTGTTGATGAAATTGCTAAAAGTAAGTAAAAGAATAATAAATTAAAAGGAACAAATATTCTTATAAAAATAAATTATAGAAAATTATGGCTAAAGGTATTTAAGGGAATTAGGCAAGTATCTAGACTGTAAATCCTCCTAAATGTCCAAATAACTGAAATTCTTCTTCAACTACTTAGTTTCAACCCTTATCGCTGCAGGAAATTCTAAATTAAATCAATACCTTTCTCAAGGATAATGATTCCTAACCCTCAGTTGATCAATCAGAATCTCTTCCTTAATTAATACCCCTAGGTTGCATTAAGTTCATTATGAATTCCATAATTAGGGTTAATCCTAATATAGAAAACTCACGTCTTTCTATCTCTAGAAATACATTCAAGTCTTTTTAATTGAGCAATATTAAATTCATGCAAAAATTTTACTCAAATTCAAACAAGAAAACAAGATAGAAGAAAATTGATACTACTCAATTAAACCCAAGAGAAAGGAACATGAAATAGCATTAGAAGAATTCCAGAAAATTTAGTCAATTAGGATTCATTACGTCTAGATACTCAAAGGAAAGTTAGAACCTAAACATCTTGAAATTAAAATTACAAAAGAGATGAATTAAAACATTTGATCTTATCCTCCTGCCGTCTCTGAGTCTTTCGTCTCCAAAAACTGCCCCTTCAGGTTTGAGTTCAGTTCTCCTTTTATAGGAATTATCTTAGGGTTAATTTTCTTGCAAAAGTTAAATTTCTGACGCGCATAAAAGTACACGCCCAAGTATACGGCCATGTACTTTGGCCGTGTACATCTCTGGTTTCTAAAAGACGCCCTTCACAGCTTTCCATAAAAGTACACGCTCATGTACACGACCATCTTTGACCGTGTACATCTCTGGTTTTGATGATACATTTCAATTGACGCGACCAGTGAGATACACGCTCATATACACGGGCATGTACTTGCCCGTGTATATCTCTGGCTTCATTATGTGTTTCAATTCCCAATATCTTTTAAAGCTTTCACTTTTTGATCCTTTTTCCTGAAATATAAATAAAATGAAATTAATAATAATAAATTTTATCAATGAATAGCTTAAAACTCTCAATTATCATTCATGAATTACAATGTAGGATTAAGTATAGAAAGCATTTATCAAATTCCCCCGAACTTGAATGATTGCTTGTCCCCAAGCAAAGAAATGGATCAATTTTACCCTTGACAACAAAGAATCAAATTCCTGAATTTTTATTATTGTTATTTTTATTTTATTTTATTTTTAGAGGGAAAGTAATTCTTAAACATCAAATTATGCTTTCTTTTGCTCTCGACCTCTGTAACTTCAGACAGAACTGAAATAAGGACCTCTCTACCATTAGCTCTTAAAATTTTAATTCAAAACTTTGAATTCTTCCACAAGGTGTTATTTAATTTTCTTTACTTTGAGCCATGATCGGCTAATAGGGTGCATTTTATGCTCCATCCCAATTAGCACAAGGTATTAATGGAAAATTCCACCCCTTGCTTTCCACATCGGTACCTTAAACAATTTCGGGGTTCTAGGATGTGGTATTCGGACATTGCCTGCAATCCATATTCAACTAATTATGCTTCTATGGCATGCTCTTTTATTTCTGAGCAGAGCGCCAATTTTTCAGATATTAACAATTCTATTAATTGCTTAAAAAAAATTTTGCATAGATTCAAGGGCATAGATTCAAGGTCCTCAAATCAGAAAAATCTACCGATACTTCAATCAAGAAACAATTAAAAACACAATTCCAATATCTAGAATAACTGCATATGTGTCTTTATTTTTTATTTTATTTTTATTTTCAGGAATATCATCTTCTATGCAACAGTAAAATTGACTCAGTATTGCTCAAGAATAAAACAACAATTCAGTTCAAACATCTATAATTATCCACCCCACATTATAAGATTTGCATTGTCCTCAATCAAATATAAGAATTAAAGTGCAACTGAAACTTCCCTGAAAAGTAAATAAATAAGCAAAGAGTCGTGGGAAGCAAAGCTAATCTGGGATTCAATTGGAGAGGAAACCTGATTAAAATTGATTTATAAGGAGATTTAACTCAATTCATAAATGACAAGAGGAGTAGAACGATCAAAATAATGCGATAAAGAAACAGAAGCAGTAAACAGACAAAAGCAATATAAATCCTAAAAATAACATAAGTAAAAAAATTCAATAACTAAGACTATCCTAATTGCAAACTAAAGTGTTGCACTAGCATCATCTGAGTCTTCATCATCTATACTAAGAAACTGGTCAGAAGAAGATGGGGTTCATGCTGGGGTGAGGACGCTTATTCAAAATATAAATAAATGAGGAAATAAATAACTAAATTAAAATAAACTAAACCTACCTAACCTAAACTATTTAATGTAATTCAACATTCAACATGAAGGAGTTTAAACTCCTCATTTGCAAAAGTTTGTAGTTGGCCCCCTAGTACAATTTCAGCCTATGTCCATTCACCTTAAAATTTCCTTTTTCTGGATGAGTTAATTCAATTATACCACAAGGAAATACCTTATGCACAGTAAACGGTCCAGACCAACGGGATTTGAGTTTACCTGGGAATAATTTGAGGCGAGAGTTGCACAACAGTACTACTAAGTCACCTTTTTGAAATAGTTTACCTCCCTTGATTTTTTTATGATGGTAGACCTTCAATTTTTCATCTGGTGGTTCATTAATGGATGGGTTGGGTTGCTTCTTTGATTTCCACTCCAAATCTTTGAAGTCTCTCTTTCTCCATAATGGCTTAGTAGCTTCTAAATGACACCACTGTTCTTGAATTACCAAGCTCATATCATCTTTTCCTCTATCATGAACTAAGCTTCTTTCAAATAGGTTTGAAATCAAGAATTCTTGTGCACAATTAGAAACATAATCATCAATTACATTAATAAAGTAGCAAGAATCATCTTGTTTCAAAGACTTTTTTATTACATTAGGAATTTTGAAAGTGACATTTTCATCTCCAACCCTCAAAATTAACTTTCCATCCTTCACATCAATTATAGCCCTTGCAGTAGCTAAAAATGGACGACCTAAGATCAAGGGGACATCAGTGTCCTCGTCCATATCAAGAATCACAAAATCAACAGGAAAAATAAATTTGTCCACTTTTACAAGCACATCCTCAATGATACCCCTAAGATATTTAATTGACCTATCAGCTAATTGAATACTCATCCTAGTTGGCCTAGGTTCCCCTAAACCTAATTTCTTAAAAACAGAATATGGCATCAAATTAATGCTAGCACCTAAATCAGCTAAAGCCCTATCAACTATCAATCTACCAATGAGACAAGGAAGAGTAAAACTCCCTGGATCCTTTAATTTTTTAGGCATCTTGTTTTGCAGAATTGCTGAGCATTCCTCATTCAGAGTTACTGTGGCCAACTCCTCCAATTTCTTCTTGTTGGATAGTAGATCCTTCAAAAATTTGGCGTACTTGGGCATCTGTGCCAAGGCATCAACAAATGGTAAATTAATATGAAGTTGACGAAATAAGGACAGAAATTTACCAAATTGTTCATCATCTTTGTCTTTCTTCAATCTTGCTGGGTAGGGAAGTGGAGGTATGAATTCTTTCACTACAGGGGGCTTTTCCACAGTCTCCTCTTGACATTTATCCTCCTCTTCAATTGCATCTTTTTCTGTTTCTTGCTTCCCCTTCTCTTGTAATGTTCTGTCACTCCTTAATGTTACTGCATTGACCTGTTCCCTAGGATTAGTCTCAGTATTGCCAGACAAGCTTCCTTGGGGTCTTTCTGAGAGGAGTCTAGAAATTTGACCCAACCGAATTTCTAAATTATGAATAGAGGCTTGTTGATTTCTTAGTGCTGTCTCAGTGGATTGGAACCGAGATTCTAAAGTTTGAATGAATTTGGTTATCAACTCCGCAAGGTTTGACTTCTTTTCAGCTGGGGTTGGTGGTGGATGTGAAGCTTGTTGAAATCCTGGGAATGTGTTGTTCCGCATTGACTGTTGGTTGTTGTTCCATGGTGGGTTTGCATAGTTCCTCCAGCCCGGATCATTCATACCATTATAATTTTGGTACAGTGGTCTGTTTCCTATCACATTGGCATGTTCTTCCTGAGTAGCTCAACATTCATGATTAGGGTGACCTCCTCCACAAACATCACATCTCATCACTGGAGCAACTAGATGGTTAACAGATAACCATCAATATTCTTCCCTAAGGCTTCAACTTGCATTGCCAAGGATGTCACTGCATCAAGACTATAGATCCCCGCAGATTTTGCAGGTTTGGATCGAGTAGAGCTCCATTGATAGCTGTTCATTGCCATCTCTTCAAACAGTTCTTGGGCAGCCCTTGGTGTCTTGCTATTCAAAGTGCCCCCAACTGCAGCATCTATCATTTGTCTTGTGGCTGGGTTCAATCCATTGTAGAAGGTTTGCACTTGAAGCCAGTCCGGAATCCCATGATGTGGGCATTTCCGCAACAATTCCTTGAACCTCTCCCACGTATCGTATAATGTCTTTGACTCCAACTAATAGAAGGAAGAGATATCGTTCCTCATTTTGGCAGTTTACACAGAAGGGAAATATTTCGCCAAGAATTTTTCAGCCATAGCCTCCCATGAAGTGATAGACCCTCGTGGGAGAGAATTCAACCATTGCTTTGCTCTGCTCCTGAGAGAAAATGGAAATAGCCTCAAGCGGATTGCATCATCAGTAGCTCCATTGATCTTGAAAGTATCACAAATTTCTAGAAAATTTGCAATGTGAGCATTGGGGTCTTCGTCTTGCAACCCATCAAACTGGACAAACTGCTGAACCATCTGAATAACATTGGGCTTTATTTCAAAATTCCCTTGCACATTCGGACGGACAATGCTAGACTCTGTCCCCGTTAAAGATAGACGAGCATAATCGGACATGGTCCTTGGTTGATCTTCGTTGTTTGCCATTCCTTCCATGTGGGTTTGTGCGTTTTCCCTCTGTACTAGCAGTCGCCTCTCTTTCTAAATTTTTCGCAAAGTTCTTTCGATCTCTAGGTCAAATTCAAATAGTTCTTCAGACAGTGCAGTAGAACGGGTTTTGATCATACACTAGAAAAATCAACTCCTAAAAAGAATGAAAGCAAAATAGGTAAGTTAATTCAAGACTAAAGAAATAAATAAAATTAGTAAACACGTAATAAAGGGAATCTTAATTAAACAGTCCCCGGCAAGGGCGCCAAAAAATTGATGTGTAAAAATTGAATTATTGGGCAAGTGTACCCGTTGTCAGAGTAATATTCTGAAAATTTAAGTACCAAGTGTCGTATCCACAGGGACTGTTATTAAGAAATTCTTCCTTAATTGCGTAATTGTTAATAGATATAAAAAATAAATTTTGTTGATGAAATTGCTAAAAGTAAGTAAAAGAATAATAAATTAAATGGAACAAATATTCTTATAAAAATAAATTATAGAAAATTATGGCTAAAGGTATTGAAGAAAATTAGGCAAGTATCTAGACTGTAAATCCTCCTAAATGTCCAAATAACTGAAATTGTTCTTCAACTACTTAGTTCTAACCCTTATCGCTGCAGGAAATTCTAAATTAAATCAATACCTTTCTCAAGGATAATGATTCCTAACCCTCAGTTGATCAATCATAATCTCTTCCTTAATTAATACCCCTAGGTTGCATTAAGTTCATTATGAATTCCATAATTAGGGTTAATCCTAATACAGAAAACTCATGTCTTTCTATCTCTAGAAATACATTCAAGTCTTTTTAATTGAGCAATGTTAAATTCATGCAAGAATTTTACTCAAATTCAAACAAGAAAACAAGATAGAAGAAAATTGATACTACTCAATTAAACCCAAGAGAAAGGAACATGAAATAGCATTAGAAGAATTCCAAAAAATTTAGTCAATTAGGATTCATTACATCTAGATACTCAAAGGAAAGTTAGAACCTAAACATCTTGAAATTAAAATTACAAAAGAGATGAATTAAAACGCTTGATCTTATCCTTCTGCCGTCTCTGAGTCTTTCGTCTCCAAAAACTGCCCCTTCAGGTTTGAGTTCAGTTCTCCTTTTATAGGAATTATCCTAGGGTTAATTTTCTCGCAAAAGTTAAATTTTTGACGCGCGTAAAAGTACACGCTTAAGTACAGGGCCATGTACTTTGTCCATGTACATCTCTGGTTTCTAAAAGATGCCCTTCAAAGCTTTTCATAAAAGTACACGCTCATGTACACGGCCATGTACTTTGGCCGTGTACATCTATGGTTTTGATGATACATTTCAATTGACGTGACCAGTGAGATACACGCTCATATACACGGGCATGTACTTGCTCGTGTATATCTCTGGCTTCATTATGTGTTTCAATTCCCAATATCTTTTAAAGCTTTCACTTCTTGATCCTTTTTCCTGAAATATAAATAAAATGAAATTAATAATAGTAAATTTTATCAATGAATAGCTTAAAACTCTCAATTATCATTCATGAATTACAATGTAGGATCAAGTATAGAAAGCATTTATCAAATTCCCCCGAACTTGAACGATTGCTTGTCCCCAAGCAAAGAAATGGATCAATTTTACCCTTAACAACAAAGAATCAAATTCCTGAATTTTTATTATTGTTATTTTTATTTTATTTTATTTTTAGAGGGAAAGTAATTCTTGAACATCAAATTATGCTTTCTTTTGCTCTCGACCACTGTAAGTTCAGACAGAACTGAAATAAGGTCCTTTCTACCATTGTCGAAATGTAACTTCCTTCAACATGATTTTTGAACTTAGAAAATTTTTCTTACCCCAAACATAATTTTTAATATCTCAAGTTTATGAGATTTTAATATTTTTTTATATCTAATTGGAAAATTTTTGTTTTAATTTTCCCGCCATTTCTTATGGCACCTCTGCCACTTACCTGCTTTATGTCGGGCACGTCGCCCAAAGTCGGCGCATTAAATGCAGGTACTGCCTGGCAGTTACCATAAATGTCCCATTATTGAGACGTGCTCCGTTTTGTTGGGGATTTGAGGCCATTTTTGATCGAAAAGACTCCCCACTATCTCTTCATCTTCCCACTAAGTGCCAAAATACTCTGGACTTGGGCTCTTGTATGAGCCTTTCACGAGGTTGGGGACCTATATAAAAGGGCGAAGTTACCTTCTCATTTTTACACTTTCATTTTTCACTCTCCTTTCTACAGCTCTGTTCTTTCTCTTTTACCTCTTTTGTGTCGAAATCTTGTTCAGTTCTTTCTCATCTCATTTTCTCGTCGAAATGGCATCCAAGTCTAAGGTTCCCTCTGCTTTCTCCAATGCTGAGCTCGTGCCTTTGGGTCATTCGAGTTACCTCCCTGAGCCACCTATCGAGGAAGAGAAGTTGGCTATTTGGAAATCCCAAGTACTCATTCCCTTTCCATTAGGCTCGAAATCTCATGCATTTTTAGGTCCTTTCTTACCCCAAAAATCTGTCGAGTTTCCTTCTGCTGATGGCATCTTGGCATTCTCCTCAAAATATAACTTGGATTCTCTCGAGAATACCCAAAAAATATTCCGAACAATGCCTCATGTAACCAAAAACTTGTATTTGCCTTGGTTAGATAGAGTTAAGAGTGAAAAACAAGATAGCTAGAGGGCCATAGGAATTTATGATGTCATTCAATTGTCTAGGTACAATCTATCTTACAACTTTCCTATGATTATGAGTTCTCTTTACTTCTGGGATCAAGCAACTATCTCTTTCCATGTGCCTTGTGGTATGATTACTCCAACTCTTTTCGATGTTGCAGCCATTCTTGGGTTAGATCAACTGGTCCTTCATTTCGACCAGATTCTCATCCCAAAAATCCTGATGTGACCCCCAACTTCCAAAAACTTTCTTACCAACTCTTCATAACCTTGAATATGAATCGAGATGGTCCTGTTACTGATGAAGAGCACATTGCTTTTCTGATGTTTTGGCTTTCTGCCTACGTTTTTTGCTCAAGATCGCTTGAAGTGCCAAAGACACTGCTTACTTTGGCCCAATTACTGCACGAAGAGTCTTCGATATGCCTTGGGAAGCTTATCTTAGGGAATTTGTATGAGAACTTAGTGGCTTCATTTAAGGTCTAATGACTTTCCTTCAGTCATTAGTGGGCCCTTTTGGCTGATTCAACTCTGGCTGAATGCTATCTTAAAAGAGAAATTACAAAGCTCTGAACCACCCAATATCTCTCGAGAGATTGAAGGTTTTTGTCTAACTTTCTTGACTACAAATGTAGCCAAAAAAACACTATTGTAATGCTTTTCGGCCATATTTCAACTTTTTCTTATCTCTTCAATCTTTCACTCCTTAACTTTCTGCTCGAAATGTAGGGCCAGTCTGGTTTAAGCGCCCTTTTCCTTTGAGAACTCCAAGTGCCCAATCTGAAGTTTTAATGACATGGAGACAATTTCTTTCATGTCAACTTCTTTTTTGTAGTTTCACCCCGAGGCCATATCAGGTGGTTACCTATTAACCAAACCTTGTAGCTCGACAATTTGGCCTTAGTTAATTAGTGCCTACGTTTATGTTGGATAAGTCCAGTCAGGGAGTCTTAGAAAATTCTCGAAATGGCATTGAGGATCTAAATGAGGCCATAAGTTTTTTCCAGAAACGTAGGCCTGAGATTTCATCTGTTGAATTTGAGCCATCGCTCTATTGTACCCATGCTTTCTAGAGTTGGTGATCAAATTACGATAATCAGCACGAAATTTTTGTCGAAGCGTGCAACCAAAAGATGACTTCTGCTTTTTCTGTGTTTCAGAAAGGGGATCCAAAGGCCAAGACGAGAGGTACACATATTCAAGAAATTCAGTCTTTTGAGCGATTTTTTAAAGTTCTTTACTTACCATAGAGAATATCTCAAACCATTTTTGAAGCTGCTCTTTCTTTAAGAGAGAAAATAAAAGAAAGAGTAAATAAATATAAGGCTTTTCATCCTTTTGACCAGTTCATAGAAGATATCCTTTTCAAAAAATTTTGACCAACTTTTCCACCTTTGCCAAACTGTAATTTTGCTCTGGCTTTACCTATAA